CAGTATGAAAAATAATTCAAGTATTCCTGAACTGTACAGCAGGCGAAACTAAATGAGTTTTGAAAATTTGAAGCAATTTCGTTGAGAAATGAAGGTGCTAGCAGGTGTTTATTTAAGTACGTCACAGAGGGAAAGTCAAGTTTTCCAAAAAAATGATGAGTAAAGTCGTACTCATAATATAAGTACTTTCACTAGGACAGTCTGGTCAGATAGCACGAAAGTTTTCTATTTGCAATGTCCTGCCAGACTTCTCGTTCGATTCAGAATTTTATGCTGATTATGAATATGTATTTTATTTTGGATGAAAGTTTAAAACGGCGGAAAAAACTCGAAATACCTCCCCTATTAGGCCCACTATACCCTCACTTGTTTTCGGTCTAGATAAAAGTGTATATTTAGATAATTATAAGAAGTGGTTGTAAGCAAACCTATAACACTTTAGCATATATAAAGAGTCCCACTGGCCCTAGTTTTATATTCCAAAGACGTTTCTCAGCCTATATATCCAGCCCGGACCGAGTAAAACATGAAAAGTCAAAATTTTTTCATTTCCATTCGTAGAATTCAATAGCGGACTTGCAACAAGTGTTGTTTCTTAAATTTCGGACTAACTATCTATCGAATTTCGACGTACTCTGGGTGCTGGCGGTTTTTCAACATGAGGCATCGACCATATTCTGAAGGTCTGAACTCGTTCCGATGTTTATTGAGTGAAAATTGAACTTTTTAATAGTTGAAACAGCTTGCAAGCCCAAATTTTCGTAAAACTCACTTTTCGGTAGACTTTTAGAACTTTTTCTAAAAACAAATATTGCCACAAGACTCAGCATGATCGATTACCTATAGTCCATCTGTTCTCAAGGCTACCAATAGTCACCGGGTGCCAGTTCTGGGACTCGCAAGAAATCCGACACAACACCCGAACCGCGGAAAACCAAGGTCTTGCTTGACTCTCATTTTGAAGAAGATACCCCGGGCTATCACAGCATGGAAGAAAATCAATACAATCCTATTGAAAGTGATACGGACACCGTAGCACTTGATCGGAATATATAAGAAATATTTTTATTTTTTCAAAAAATTCGTAAAAGACCGACTTTTGAAAGGATTTTTCGTTTTGGCTTAAATTATGCGCATTCAAACGTCAGTCGACAAACTGCGCATACCAGGCCATTTTATTGTTGTTTGTTGATATAGTATGCAGATGCGAGAAAGTTCGAGCTGCCGACAAGCGAAGATTTCCAGAGTACTGATTCAGCATGGTCTGTGTTTTAAGCAGACGAATAGATATTAAAAATTCTGTCGCATTTTTCATTATAAGTAACCGGTTTATAACGCTTAAGGGTGACTCGCACTACAAGTTCATATATATATGATAGTAAAAAAAGTGTCCTAGGGCATCTTGACATTAGAAATACTGTCTGGAAAGCCGTGAAAAGTGGGTGATTTATTCAACGATGACGATCCTGTGCTCCACACTTGCCCACTAACCACGACGATACATATACCATTCGATAGAGAATTTCACGAGCTTCAAAATGAGCGATGAACAAGTCTTTCAGAAATATGCCCACATGGGTCAATAGTTGAAATACTTGTCCGATATAATGATTTTGACCTATCTTAGTGCTTTCAACACTCCGTTAGTCGTTTTTCTGCCATAATGAAAATTATGTATTGTTCCAAAACATACCACTGGATAGCTCTTGAAATTCTCTACAAAATTAGCTGGTCACAATATACAGACAGGTGGGGCCTGTCATTAAAGATATTGAAAAGAAACGTTTGGGTGTTATCTAAGCGGCACCGTGTGTCATAATCACAAGAACTCCCTTGCTTTTGACCTTTTAGTAAAAGCTGGAACTAATCTGACTAGTGTTTTAAATAGCCCGAAGATTTTTCTATCAGATGAGGTGCATGTTCGCCTTTCATGAGAAAAGTTGATAATAGAGCTTCTGGAAAACCTGCCTGCTTAAAAGCCAAGTCCTCAGTTTTTAGCGAGAAAATTTTGCAAGTCACATAGCCTGATAGAGCGAAAAATTTTGAGCAAAATAAGACTGCTCCCAATATTCTATAGCGCCCTTTCACCGGAATATTTTGGTAACTTTGACGCCCCTCGTGGCTAGTGGTACATCGGCTGCAGTTGCGTGAAAAAGCGCTATACAATGCCGGAAGAAGTCTTATTTTGCTTTCTCTATCGAATGGTATATGTATCGTCGTGGCTAGTGGACAAGTGTGGAACACAGGATCGTCATCGTTGAACAAAGAAGAGTAGAACTTTGTTTATAGTAAATTCGACCTAGTTTTTTTTGAGAATAACTCTAAGGTCTGTGGGGTGGCTAGAAATGTTTTCCTGTTCATTCTGCATCTAACCATGTATGTGTCGATGGAATTCAAGCAGGGGCCGATTCCATCAAATAATCGCCCCCGTCCTTTGTTTAAACATTATGCGCACAGTAAATTCGTTTTTATCGATCTTGTTTTATTTCATTGTTTTCTCTGTCTCTCAGAATATTTTGTATTTCCAAAACATTCTTTTTGTAAAACAAAAGGACAATAAATAAATATTATATCAAACAAGAAGAAATTTTTCTAAAGCATTAGTTGATGGATCTGAGAAATATACATCTGTTAATAATGTTAAAACTCTGCTAATCCTCTATCATTTAGATTGTTATCATCGATTTTGTTATCAACGTTTTATCTTCATAATCAAGGCATTTTATTGCAAGTCTAACAAATGATAACGAAAGAAAATAATTCAAGAGTAGCAATGTGATAAAAATGTATACTTCAATCGATTTTCATCTACCCGAACTTTATTTAAAGCTTGATTATTTGTATCATTTACTATTATTGAACTTAAAACCTGGGGTTGATCAGGTTTATCAACAACCATCAAACAATCCATACAAAAAATATGAATAAGCTAGCACCTTCAATTAATACAATCCTTGGTCAATCACAGTTATGTTTGATTCGATCACACTCAATTTCGAAAAACTTTGGAAAAAAAAATTTTTGAACAAAACACGACAATAGTTACAGAGCACTAGCAATTTTTAATTCAAATCATTTCTGTTTGCGCCTTTTATATAAATATAGTATGATTCGAAACAGTTCACACATGGTCTCCTCTACCACAATTCAATATACCAAGCCGATTTTGTTAAAGGGCATTTTGAAGACTTGATGCTCTTTTCGGTAATATTCACGCTCTTTTGAGTAATCTCCCATGTTAATATACACAGTGCCGATATTGCTGTACGACTGAGCCAATGTGGATAATTTGGGCCGAGAGATATTTGGATGACTTTCAGTGCCCTTCGAGTGCTTTCGAGAACTCTCCCGTCTTCTCATAAACGCAGTCGGTGTTCTTACAAAACTGAGCCAAGTTGGGATGAGTTGGTGGCAGAGATTTCTGTTGGATTTCAAGTGATTTTTCATGGGATGAAAGTGCTTTGGAGTAGCCTCCAATTTCGGTAGACCTCGAGACGATGTTGTTGTAGGACTGCGCCAAATCGGGATGATCTGGTGGTAGAGATATTTGGATGATCTCAAGTGCATTTACATAATACTTCAGTGCTTTCGAGTACTCTCCCACGTTGTCATAGATCGAGCCCATACATTTGTGGGACTGAGCCAAATATGGATTATTTGATGGGAGAGATATTTGGAAGATTTTACGTGCTTTTTGATAGTGTTTGAGTGTTTTCGAATACTCTCCCATGTTCCCATACATGGAGCCGGTGTTGTTCAAGGACTGAGCCAAATCGGGATGATCTGGTGGTAGAGATATTTGGATGATCTCAAGTGCATTTACATAATACTTCAGTGCTTTCGAGTACTCTCCCATATTCTCAAAGATCGAGCCAATATTCGTGTACGACTGAGCCAAATATGGATGATTTGTTGGAAGCGACCTTCGGAATATTTCAAGTGCATTTTCCTAGTACTTTCGTGCTCTCGAGTACCCTCCCATGTTGGCGTAGGTGGATCCCATATAATTGTACGCCTGAGCCAAATTTCAATGATTTGGTGCGAGAGATATTTCGAAGATTTTGTATGCTTTTTGATAGTGTTCGAGGGCTTTTGAATACTGCGCAATCTTCTCATACACGAAGCCGATGTTGTTAAAGGACTGAGCCAAGTTTCGATGATTTGGCGGCACAGATTTTTGTTGGATTTCAAGCGATTTTTCATCGAACGAAAGTGCTTTCGAGTACTCTCCCATGTTGTCAAAGATCAAGCCAATATTCAAGATGATTTGGTGGAAGCGACTTTCGGAATATTTCAAGTGCACTTACATAATACTTCGGTCCTTTCGAGTACTTTCCCATGCTGTCGTAGATAGATCCCATCTTGTTGTACGACTGAGCCAAGCTTTTGTATGATTCTGAGTGTATTTTGGTAGTACTTGCTTTTGAGTACTCTTCCATGTTCTCATGCACGGAGCCGGTGTTGTTTTAGGGCTGAGCCAAGTTGGGATGATTTGGTTTGAGACATTTTTGTTGTATATACGCGAATCCACATGGTATAATTTGGGTAAATTACTGTTCGAAAAGCCGGAAGAAATTTTCCACGTACTCCTCCAATTGAGCTGCTTTGAGCTGAAAGGGCTTTCTTTCCTCTACGATCAGACTTTCTTTATTTTACTATCGAAAAGCGCATAAAGTCTTGAGAATATTCCTCCCTCCAAATCAGCTAGGTTTGCCTCAGCCATACAACAATATGGGATCCACCTACGACAACATTGGAGATTACTCGAAAGCACGGAAGTACTACGACAACGCACTTGAAATATTCCAAAAACCGCTTCTCACAAAGTCGATTTCGCTCAGTCGTACAACAACATCAGCTCAGTGTCTGCCAAAATGGGAGACTACCCAAAAGCACTTTCATCCAATGAAAAATAACTTGAAATACAACAAACATCTCTGCCACCAGATCATCCAGATTTGGCTCAGTCGTAAATCAACACCGGCTCCGTGCATCAGAAGATGGAAGGGTACTCGAAAGCAAGTACTACCAAAGTACACTCAGAATCATCCAAAGCTTGGCTCAGCTCTACAACAAGATGGGATCCATCAACGGCAACATGGAAGGACACTCCAAAGCACGGAAGTACTACGACAATGCACTTGAAATATTCCGAAAGTCGCTTCCACCAAATCATCCATATTTCGCGCAGTGGCACAAGAATATTGGCTCGATCTATGACTAGATGGGAGAGTATTCGAAAGCACTCGAACACCACGAAAAAGCACTCAGAATCATCCAAATATCTCTCCTACCCAATCATCCAGATTTGACTCAATCTTAAATCAACACCGACTCCGTGCATCAGAAGACGGGAGGGTACTGGAAAACACTCGAATACCACGAAAATGTACTGAAAACATTATAATGATTAATTGTAGAGTAAACATCTAAAAATACGTGAAGGATACTCCACTGGCCACAGCAGAGTATCTTGACTAGGTAG